CTGCATTGGGGGCGTTTAAAATTGTTTATTTTCTTCTCATACTAAGAATTTTTTTTCAGAATTTGTTATCAATTTTTTAGTACTGCATTTTCTTATTTTTATTATCATGAGAAAATATGGTATTAAAAAATTCTAAAAAAATTCTCAAAACTTTATGAGAAGAAAATAAACAATTTTTGTCTCTTACAGTTTTTCTGTAAAGTTGATAGTATTTGAGAAAAAAATTATTAAAGACCAATATTCGGCCATTTTTAGTAATTAATATCTTGTTAACTATTGCGAAAATTGCAAAATGGTATAAAACTTTTTTGTTCCCCTTGACCCATTCTATGCCTTCAATGCGGCTCCGACTTATTTAAGAGACACCTTGTATATCTATCTCATTAGTGTAAAAAGTATAAAAAAGTGTAAGGCGAACAGACCTATTAGTCTTACAATATAAATAACAATTCATAAAGGGCAAAGTAAGAGTCAAACACATTTTAAATTGTAACACAATTAAAAAGAATAAATTACAAATAAAGAAAAGTAAAAATAAAAAAATAAAAAAACACAGTTTAAATTTAAATATAAAACGTTTACAAGTTTCGGCTACCTGATTGAGCCCTCTTCAGAGTTCAGATATTAACTTATCACAAAAACTACTATTATATAATACAAAATTAGTTATCGAAAATGCTCGCATATTCCTTATAACAAGAGCTCGAGCGAGTCTTGTAGAACTCGACATTCACATACGATTGAACAGTCAAATGTGTTTCATATCTTTTGGAAAAAGATCAAAAGCCATGTGTAAATTATTCAAACAGGTATGTCCATATAAAAACCAATTGAAATGTACAGAGTTTAATGGAACGCAGATGTGTAAGATGGACATTGTATGCCGATTATAATGTACACTCGCTGATAAAATCAACACGGACTAAAAAGTCTCACAATAGTGTCTTCTTTATGAAAGGGAAATGTCTGAAATAAAAGTGAATATTTTTTTACGGAATTTTTCCATATAGTAATTAAAAAAATGTTCATAAGGTTACACATTAAAAATGTTTTCGCTGCTTTTTTGCTCGTTTCGTGTTCTCTCACATTTTCATCACTCGAGATGGATGCACGTAAATTTTTAAGTTTCGTGACACGAAGCCATCATCGACGCACCGGGAGAAAGCGGATCGCAGGGGATCGTAGGACGGAAAATTCGGGAAAAGAACGGCAGAAATGGCCGCCAGACCTATGCCTGCGTAGGGTCCCCCTACGGTCGCGAATGTTTCGTACGGTCGAGAAAGGGAGTTATCGATTTAATTCCCCGGGAAAAGCTATGGGGGAAAGCCGCACGATGTGAACACACTTCGCGGTCTATCCTTTGTTCGTGCCGCGCTGGAAATGGAATTTCTTTCCATCTAAAAGTGATTTTAGATAATTTTGCATTTTATTTTTTACGACACGAGAAAGAGAGAAAGAGACAAAGAAGTATGCACGAAAAAATAAACTCATCGTAAAATCATTTTATATAATACAGAGAAGTTTATATATAGGATTATTATTTTTCCAAATTTTATAGTATCTATATGTGTTATATATCTTATATACAGTGTTGGGTAATATCTAGATACATGTATAGAGACACATTTTGTGTATCTAATCAGTATCCGAGATACATTCAAATTCGAGTATTTGTATCTGTATCTCTCTCTAGATACAAAAAATGCAGCATTTAAACTGATTTTTAGATGTATTTTTCATATACATTTCCTCAGCACAGTCATTCCATTTTATACGTGATTGTCGATTGATTCCATTCCGCAGAAAAAAAGCAGCTTTGCTGTTGCAAAATTCTATAACATGATTGGTCTTTCCTTTAGTTTCTCTCACAGGATCTAAATGCAAATCAGTCATATTAAAGAGTTTTACAGTTTTACACAGCTGCTTTTTCTGCTTCTGAACGCAGCCAGTGATCTTAGATTGTAAAATTTCTAACATATATATAGTTAAGCTTAAGGAAACGCAATGTTTGAAGCATTTTTTATTTGTAAAACTATGATGAATAATATTATCTTATAATATAATTCTTATCCTAAATCGTTTTATGATAATTACAAGTTTTTTCAATTATCTATATAAATCAATGAATGATTCATTTAATAACTAATACATTTTTTTTACACATTACCATTATTACAATAAAATTAATTGAAAAATATCTGAAATGTATCTGAAGATACTTTCAAAGTTTTATGTCTGTACCTCTATACGTTTTATGTGTATCTAAATCTGTATTTAGAAATTTTTGTATATGTAACTATATCGGTATCTAGATAAATTTTAAAAATATCTTATTCATTACTGCTTACATATTACATACGTATATAATATTACATATATTAATATAATATATATTTTGTAATTTGTATTAATACTAACGCAGGATATTATCTTTTATTCCGCGCGTACATATATATTTTTTTATTTCATTACACAGTTTATTTTACATTATATATGTTTTGCCTTACATTTATGAAGCCCACTGGGAACTGTCTGGGAATTTCTCTTGTCGATATGATTTTACCATATTTTCGTGCTTTTTATTCAAATTACAATATCTTAACGAGATATACATTCATTGTTCAGAAAAGTTAATTTACGCTATCTGCGAATTCCCAATGTTTTTGAATATCAAATTAAACATCCAGGGAAATATACACATACGTGAAGAAAGCTATATCTAATCTGTCTCTATTAAACGGGGAAATTTTCCATTAAGGCCAGAAGGGATTATGCGGAATAGTCTGTCTGCCATCCGGTGACGCAAAACATTCCGTATAAGTGACATTCTATTGATCGTACTGTCTCTTTCACGACGTACACGTGGTAGCGTATTGTCGCGGACCTCTGCAAAATATCTCATTGTGTTGTCTGGTAAAAAAGAAACAGAAAAAGAAAGAAAACCACCATCGCCATTCACGCACACACAGACGTTCGTGCTTTGCCACGATTCCACAGATCGTAGATTTAAAGAACAATTTGCGGCGTCAATTTAATTTGTAGCTTCGTGAGATTTCAGAGAGCGACGAATTTTCCTTTGCATTTGACATTGTAATTGTATTTGACGTTTGAATTTACTTTTTTAATCTTGCAAAATGTAGAATTTATGTACACTAACCGAAAGTGATTCTAAATTCATCTCATATTCCTCTTTCAATATACATATTACATTTATTCGTCGTTGATTACGTTTAACTTTAAATAAAACTTTGTATTCAAAATCCATTTCAATTCTCTCCAGGTTAATGGTTATAAATTAGCTTATAAATTATATCACTGCATTATATCGCTGCATCGTGTCGGTGGTTCACGTTTATATCCCTTTTCGTCCAATCGAGTTTCATGAACGATGTCGAACAGTAATCGATACGCGTGAATGAAATGCGCCGCATGCGACAGAAAGAAATGGGCAATCCATGTGGCGCAGCATGATGTGTAGCTGTCAAAAATTGTGCCACCATTGTCCCACGCACGTTGCTCGTAGACAGTCCCAAACGTGGGCGAACAAGTGCGTAATGCCAGTTAACGTATACAGGATGTCCCAAAAAAAGACGAGCAGCAACATCCTCTCGCCGCCCAACTTATAAGTTTCTATACGAGAATCAAACTGCTTCGTTATTTAATGTCTAAACTTTATTATATGTGTGTGTGTGTGTGTGTGTGTGTGTGTGTGTGTGTGTGTGTGTGTGTGTGTTAGAAAATAAAAATTGAAATTATAAATAATTTCAAAAAAGAAAACTTCAACGAGAAAGTCCCGGTTTTGCTTAGAAAACATTCGAAAAAATACCTTTCCTCTGATTTTGGAAATCATATTTACCGTTTTATTTTACATTAATCAAAAAATAGTGTCGAAAATAGATTAAATTTCCATTCTAGAAATATCAATGCTAAATTTTTTGTATATACTTTCTCGATATCTCGCGTATACCTACACGTACGTAAGCCACAAACCGTATCCACAAGAAAACGCACAGAGGTTGGGAAAAGAAGGAGAGAAGGATTGAGAAAACACGAGCGAGAAAGAGAAAGAAGTAGAGATGCGCTCATTTGAGATGCGTCTCGCGTGCGTTTCTCCGGCGACCGAGGACCGGAAGTTGGCTCGTCATACGTGCATCGTCACGCGTATCCGGTACTCTGGAGCCGGCTTATCATGGCTGACAATTCTAAAAAAAAAATCCCGTGATACCGATCTCGATGGCTTGGTCACTCATTGGCTTGGTTCGTATGATTGAAGCCCGTTATTGTTTGCAAGCTTGAGTTTAGCAGTTATCAACTCGTTGAATAAAAAAATGCTTGGAAAAATGCAGCTGCGAAGATATCAATATAATGCTAACATAGTCTAATATATATACCTAAAGCTGTATCTCTATTAAAATAATAGAATCTTATCTTCTGATACGAGATTGCTTGTTAACACTATATCACAGAAATAATTAAAACATACAATATAATGGAATATACAATTGTATATATTTAATTTGTACAAATATACGCATTTAATTTCTACAAATTAAACACGTATATTGTACGTATATAATTATGTATGTATAATACTAATATTGATTAATAAATGAATAATAGTTTAGAAAATAGCGTATGTAGATACGCACGATATAAAATGCTACAATTTATCCTTTTGTATTGTAACATTTTATAATATAATAATACGAATAAATTTTAATTCTACATATGTATACTTGGGTCATAATTTTGCCGTTTGGATTAAGTTTAATATTGAGAATTATGTGTATTACTTTTAAATAATTATAAGATAATGCGAGATAGGCGTGATTGTTGTTTCGTCGCGTACTATTGACAGTTATCGTGGTGTTACGTTAGTTTACGTGGACGATGTAACGAGATCTAACCGGTGACAATGGCGATGCTCATTAAAAATATCATTGCGTCATATCGTGGCACACAGTTCTCACTGATAATGTCTACTATGATCTCTTTTACAGCTGTATACAACTGGCGGGGAGACACGCGATATGGATTACCCTTGGAAATTGGAGAAACCGTACAGATCTTGGAGGAGTGTGCGGGTACGTAATCTGATACTTGACCTCCCCCGTTACTTGCGTGAGCGAAATCGATGTACTTTGCATCGAGTTCTGATATCGTTTAACGTCAAGGGAAATGATTAAGTCACCAGGAAGCGCGATAGTGACAACGTAATTATGCATTCTGGATGGAGCGCTGGGAATGATACAGAGAGAGAGAGTTAGAAAAGAGAATATTGCAGAGTAATATCAACATTTTTTTGTCTGAATTAAAAAAATTTGCATTAAGTCTTTACTAATACGCAATAATTCTTTTCATCATTAATTATTGCATCTACATATATCAAACAATTCGTACTATTCCCTCGCTAAAATTAATTTTAGACAGTATACTCAAATTAACTTACGGAATTTCATAGAGAAGTGCAAATATTGCATTAATTATTTAGCAAATAGAATAATAATACACACTGAGAAAAAAAAATCCTATAAATTTCAGTAAATATTTATTTTTCAATAGTACCAAACTAAATATTTATTAAATATGAAAATACATTTATTTGGTGCAAAAAACATTAATTTGATTTAACAATCACTCCTTTTTATTAAGTAAATATTTATTCATTGTAAATGTTTAGTTGGCAGTATTCAAATAAATATTTATTTAAATTTAGACTATTTTTTCTCAGTGCAGGAAGAAGATCGTATTTTATAGATTCATGCAAAATCATTGACTGATGGTGTCTTATATAATAACTAAATACTATTACTTTTCGTATTAATTAATTTTAACATCAATATTCACTTTATCATTGTTTAAATTAATAGCAATAGCCGTGTTTGCGTATCTGTAGTGCTAAAGGTATATAGGTATAAAAGTATTTTCAGACATAAGTGGAATATAATCGGTAAAATGCAACTAAAATGAAATTCCTGACGATTCCAGGCTGGTATAGAGGCTTCTCGACGAAGAATCGCGCAGTGAAGGGGATCTTTCCGAGTTCCTACGTGCATCTGAAGCCCTGCAAAATCGACAATGAAGGTCTTTTCGAGTCCGTTATACCATTGGAGGATCCAGTGGTCCGGGAAGTCACTCTGGTTCTGCGAGAATGGGGTGGTATTTGGAAGAGGTTGTACGTGGTGAGTACACCGCATTCCGTACTCTTCTCTCTGCCCGCTTTCCTCTCTTCTTCTTCATTGCGAAATCTGTCTTTGTAATCCGTTTCAGAGAATATCTTCTCGTTATTAAAATTGCGATGAAGAAAAGATTGCAATCCTTTAATACTGTCTTCCTCATTCACTTCTTCGCTTCTGTATTTGAAAACGTCTACGTTATTTATACATACGTGAATATCTTAATATTAATTAGGATTCTCTAAGAAAGTTCTTCGATGCATTTTTTCATTAATCACATAATTTTCTTCTATTTTTCCTTTACTTTTCTGTTATCTATATTTCACGTTATAACAAGATTCACAAAAAGGATTGATTTTATAGTCTTTTTCTCTAATTTCAGGGATGCGTATAAAACTTTTTAGCGATTTAATATGTGAACCTTTGTCTTTGCTGTCTGATGCAGGAGCGTGAGGAGTACAAATTCAACGCGTTGCGTAAAGTGATGCGGGAACTATTGGAATGGCGGCGGCAACTTTTGGCCGGCACTCTCACAACTGATCAGACGCGGGAGTTGAAGTTGCGGATAATCAATAAAGTGGATTGGGGGAATCGGTAAGTTGGAAAAAAATGTACTATTCTATATTAAATTCGCGGCACGTGCCACGGGAATGGGAGCGGAAACCATATCCTTTCATCATTCATACTTATAAGAAAAGACTTATCGAGTTTCTTTAATTACTTGATCGATTTGTGCAAATGTTTTTTAATGATGACATATGTATTATAATTAAAGCATATGTATATTTACCAATGATGTAAATAACTTATTGATTTTTATTAGCAATCGAGTTAATTTTAGTAGTTACGAGAGTTACAGAGAAGAAAATATTAAAAGTTATATTTATATAAATCTACTAAAATTTCTTTCTAATAAAAAATGACACTCACAAATATATGTATATATGTCATTTTTTTTTATTAGAAAGAGACTTTAGTCAAATAATTTATGCGCAAAGTGATCTTTTGTGCAATTGGAGAAAGCAGTTGCGCCGAATAGTTTCAGCTGATACAACTGAAGAAAATTTTAAAATTGATTTGCTCTCGCGTGACCACGCGCTAATTAAGTTCGCTTGCACGCGCAATTGCTGCATAAAAGCGAATGATACACGACACTGTTGGAAAGAATTTCTTTTATTCTGTTATTCTCTTTCATATTAATCGCTATAACGACGTAGCACATGTCGACAGTCTTCCTCTCATCAAACACGAGTCAGAAGAAGCATTTCGCTCTTCCTAAAGAATACACTAATGTAATCTTTTTTTCATATCTATATATGTATATGTGTTTGTGTGTGTGTGTGTGTGTGTGTGTATAAAAGGCACATTTTACAACTATTACACCTATAATTGATCTCTCGTTCTCTCTCTCTTTCTCTCCCTCTCTCTCGTTCATCTTAAACATCTATCTTAAGATATCACTCGAAGCGCGATTATCGGTAATCTAACGGGTTGCGGATATCGTAAAGGGAAGGGTCGTAGCGTTATATGTTATTATATATATATATAGTTATTGTCGATAGCGCTTATACATTACTCTCGCAGACAAGAGGACATGGGGAACGTATCCGATGGAAAGTTTCTATTGTTTCTGTTAACAGGAAGGAAGATTATTGTGTACGTGATAATTAATCGCGTTAAATAAAGTTTACTTAAGAGACAACATAATATTCGAAGATATCATTCTTCCTAATAAATTGAAGCAATTCGAATCAGCGTTAATGCAGTATCTAATTACGTTAAATATTACACTGTTAAAAACGAAAATATTTATGTATCGCAAGATAATATATCGCAATATATAATCTCATATAGAGGAATCCCCTTTATATACGTATATCTAATATAATACATTTAAATAGTTTTTTTATGTTGTATTTTAAATTTAAATTTTTCTACTTTTATTCTAAGTAATTAATTTTCATAGTTCAGGAACTAAATATTATATTTGCAGAAAATTAAACATTATTTTGATAGATTTTTAGATATGTGAAGATCCCCTATAAGTGAATTGCGAAAAAGACGACGTGAAATGTTTAACTACACATTATCACGGGATTATCACTCGCATAGTTCTTTTTTTCAGTCAAATTTCAATATATCATTTGTTTTAATCTCTGTTACAATTTTTAGTGCCAGTCACATGAAAATACTCGCGTAAAGAAACAATAGAAAAAATGAATCATGGAATATATGAACATTTGTTTTGTTCCTTTTGCTTGAAATATTGACACGTTACTTTATTTTTATTAACTACTATAGGTAGACTAATAAAGATAAAATAAATGTAATTACTCTACACCTTCTATGGTATAAAGTCGCAATATTTTTATATCTTCATGTGATAGCACGCGGTAGCATTCTATTAGATATTATTGTCTAAATCCACGGATTTCACTGCATTTCCTCGAACTTTAAGCTTCATATGAATCGTCTTATGCCCGAAAATCTTCGGGTATTCGGATACACTCAATATACATACAATATATATACGTACAATTATTTAAAAGATTAGAAAATTCGTTGTTGAGCAGCATATTCCTGTCTTTGAATTTCTGTGTGATTGTGACGAGGTCGTTATAACGTACATACGATACATTTTTCGTCACAAATAATGGAATAATGAATGTTCTCCTACGTCACTTTGAGTAAAATATTGCCGCTCTCCCTAACTAATGTAAGCGATTTGCGGAACATTTGTTATACATATTGCAAAAGCAAGTATCAAATGTATTTTAGCGATACATTCACCGTTTCGATGCCTGCTTTTTATTTTGTTCTTTTGACGGAATAAAAGGAATGTTGTGTATGGGACACCGTTATAAATTCGCGTGTCTCACGTGTAGCCGTTTTCTCTCCTTAAATCGCGAAATAAATCGGCATTGAATAAATTTATATGGAACAAATGATTAATCATCAAAATGATATTATAGCGAGTGGGAATGTAACTATCACATTTGAAACCGTGTTGCGACTTAACAATTGTAAACAATTACATGTGCATACGTCTTATAATCTGAGAGCATTGCGCGTTATCATCTACATTTATATATTTGATATAAATCTAATATCGGTTCGTGCCGCTGCAGTGTAAGACAATTAGTGTGCGTTCTTCTGGTAGACAAGTCTGATTGACATGTTGAAATTCAATGCTCGTTACGTAATTCTCATCATGTGATTTGCCATTCAAGCGAAAATACTTGTAAGAAGAAAAAATAAGTAATACAATAGAAATCTCATTGGAGAACTAATCGACAAAAAGCCTTGTTGGCTTGTGCGATTTTAAGCGTTCTAACTTTGTTTTTATGGTACATGAAAATCTCGTAACGATTGTAAGCTGAATAAGGAGATGACGAAGGCTACATGTTGTTTCTCCAAGCTCAGATATTCGAATTGCGTAATAGCAATATAACAATGATAAATGAACGTCTTGTAATGACAAAAGTTTCAACGAAGAAACTACCGAGATAATTCGCGCATTAATTTGTACAAATTTATTGATGTATTATTTCATACACGAAAGAATATAATGAAATTGTCGAGTGAATCTCCAATTGGAAATAAATTGCATAACAATTTAGAATGAAAAGTGATTAAACAGAGAAAATAAAGATCAACGTATACTTTGCAAGATACAGTTTTCAGAAATTTCCAATTGGAAGTCTCAATTGAACATAAACGTCAAGGATCGCCTCGCGTTTTAACAAGGTAATGAGCGAAACTCACTCTCGTTGACGGGAAACAAGTATCAAGACTTTTTTAATGCTGAGCTTACGTTTTACGAGTGTCGTGTGACAGTAAGGCTATGTTAAACATGAGCCCCGATGGGCAGCAGGGAGACGTCTGATGCGCATGGTTTTACATAGCTTCTCACGCGATAATGTAGTCGACAGCGCGGCACGAACCTGTCTCTTTATTGGCACCGAGATGACGGCGTTGCAAAACCGCCCTCGATATTATCACAATACGAACAAGGGGGAGGGGGGAGAAGGGCAGTGGAAAATAGCGACGACGGCCGAGTTTCTTCTCGCATTTAGATCTCGGTGTCCTTGCTGAATTTCTCGATCTCTGGATACATTGGCGACATTTCGAGGGTGCTGGGTGCCGAAGGTACTGATGTTGGCGACGCGTCATTACCAAATTGTATACGACGGCACGTTTCTTCTAGCACTTCGTTGAACGTCATGAGATTCAGATTCTGACCCAGCAAATGAAGCATTAGGAAGTCGCCAACCTGTACAAAATTCAATTTCCTTCTTAAATATCACGAATAAAATGTCACGTTAAAATGTAAGATTATAATTTCATTTGAAAAGACACTTTTATATTTCCATTATCCGCGAAGATTTCATTTATAATACAAAAGTTGTGCATCGTGTCGACAGTTATAGAGTACCCCCAACTTTTATTCGATAGTTTCTATTAAATTCTTAAGTGGATTATCGTGTTCGTAGTAATCATTCAGTGAACCGAAACTTTTTAAAATATATTTGTCGGTATTTCCAGACTATTATGCTACCGTATATATTACTCGAAACAAATGTTCTATCGACATCTTTTACGAAAAGCATTTTCTTCGCGTGATTAATGTTAGTTATCATAATTGATAACTAACTAAAGAAAAACCTACCTGAGTTTTTCGAATGAGCGTGCTAACTGTAGGTGCTGTACCAAACTTGAAGCGCTTCTTGATAATCGTTTCGCGTGTGCTGGGCATCAACACTATGGCCATGCTATACAGCACTGCCAATCCGGAAAAGACAGCCAATATGATAAACCAGAACCACAGAAAGATGTAGATTTTCTCGTTGAGAATATTGAGCGCGAGCACGCAGAGCGCGTCCAATTTTTGGATCGAACCAGAGGGACCAAACTTGTGAAAAGTACACTTAGTTACGCGTGGGAATACTTCGATCATCGGGTCAGTGCGTTGCTCCTGATTCATGTTGCTAAACTTCAACACATCCGTGCCATACGTAAGAAAAGCGCCGCCCAGAAACGTGTCTACGAAGAAGATGTTACCAACCTGGAGCAGACAAGACATTGTTTCAGTTATCATTAATTTAATACAAGGAGTATGATCCTACTTTTGTAGAAATATTTTAATATCCTGTGTATATTTCGTAGCTTTACAATAATTTAAAAACATTCTATAGTGATGAAATTACGCGCGAAATTATATTTAAAAAAAAAAAAAAAAAAAAAAAAAACGAGATTCAAATGCTAGCGCCGTCCAAATCATTCAAATATCGTTTCTAGACAGTTTCTTGATGTCGTAAACGCGTACTCACGGTATTGATAAAGTTGAGGACCTCGCAAAAGAAATATCCGGCAGCGTAGCTGTTATGCAAGTGCATGGTCTCCATGAGATACTGAACCAGTCTTTCGGTCTTAGCTTGACGCTCCTGCTTAGTATCGATCATGGCACCTCTCAAGCCTTCGGATATCATCCTGATTTTACCTTCCTCCCATTGCTTCCACATCCAATGTGGTAAATAGAACAGTACACCCTGGAAGAACAGCATGAACGGCACCCACTGGTAGTACGAGTGGTA